TGAGAGGTGAAACGTCTTCAAGCAACTCAAAGAAGTCCAGACGCTTTTCTTTCCAAGCTCCTTAGACTACGATGACCTGGATGACTGAGAACCTTCACAGACACAGCCAATTACAGTTATTTATCTTCTACAGCATAGTGGCTAATTAAAATTTAAACACTGTTTAGAGGCCCTAGTTAAGAGGAAGTGGGTAGTGGAACTCTGAGAAATGAACCCTAACGAAGAGGAAGAAATCCAAAAATTTAGCAGCTGAGACGTCAAATTATAAACTGCTTAGTAGACAAAGTAGCTGGGTGAGAGTGAGAGTAAGAGAAATTTGCAGGTTTCAGCATGAAAACAATAATTGTGCCGTCATGTGAATATTATTGCCTGTTTTTTCAAACTGAATAGGTCTTACTTGCTTGTTTTATTAAGCATGAATCACGATGATATGAATACAACTTGTGTCAACTTATTGTCATGAATCACAGACAGAAGGTAGACAGGTTAAACAAACAAAACTTTAATTCAGCAGGTTGAGCAAGTCCACAGCAAACAACAAAGCTACAAAAGCATACAAAAATCCCAAATGTTACAATGTTAGAATTTACAAGTTGATGCAAAAACTCAGAAAAATGCTCAATACCATTTTTGACAGCTGTAGCCACTACTGTGGGACAGACTGTTAATCTGCCCAGGTTGTACCTTGCCTCTAGACCACCCCCAACCCTAAACTGGATAAGCAAGTGCGAATGGTTGGATGGATAGCCACTACCTGTTGAATAGAGTAATTCAAATCACTTAATTGTTTTTGGTGTTTTGGAGACTTTTTAATGCACTTATCAAAAAAAAATAGTTTAATTGTACAAACAGCACATCCAAGATTTCTGTGCTCCAGTTAGGGTAAGTAAATCTTTTATATTTGTTTGCTAGATAATACTAATTAGTAAATATTGCAATAAATTAGCATGTAGATGCCTCCATGCAGTCAATAAATGCAGTTTTTGAGATCTTACTGTCTTGTCCTAGGCATGAGAAGCACATGGCTGGCATTTTTTTTGGATTTTTGCTTTTTGTTGACATAGTTGACAGAGTATAAATGTAACTCAAACTTTAAAGTGTTTAAAAGTTTGAAAATTTAAAGTCCAAATTAAATGACTAAAACTTTTATCATCAATTTTAATTAAATAAGCAAGTCATTAATAGATCTGAGTTACTCTTGGAATAAGCCATTAACTCAGTTTCCAGCAAGACCCAGAAACACAAAGGTGTTTCGTGGCCCAGGAAAGACTTTTTGTCCACCTATCACGTGAGCTGTTAACTCTCAGAATCTTGTCCTCTGATTCAGTTGTGGCTTTGGGTCTGCCAGACCTCTTCCTGTCAGAGTTCGCCCCAGTTTCTGAGTGCCTTTTGTGAAGGAAACTGTACTCACTAACATTTTGACTTTTTTTTTGCAATTTTTCTGTAGGAAAATTTACATTTTTATGTGTTATGATGGTCTGTCTCTCTTCCATTGTTAATTGCCTTTTTCTTGCCATTTTTTAGCAACACACTACTTTCTGCAATACAATACTGTTCAACTGATGCTCAGTTGGTAGGTACCACAGTGTATTGCAACACTGAGACAGGAAGCGTTGTAAGTAATGCAGAAAAGTTGGAACACCTGTAGGAATTAGTAGCACCAGCTTTCAAGGCTGGGTCAACCTCCATTGCTGCAGAACAGCTTTAAATTGTTGACTCATTTTGTCTTCGTTGAAAATTCTGAAATGTTTATTATTTTTCAGTTTTGGTTAACCTTACCTTTTTTTCTAACCTTTGGCAGTTCATTACTTGCCTTTGTACCATTTCAAGCTATATATTGGACTTGAACAAATTTAATTGCAATAAAGAACTTGAAAAATTGGGGTATTCTTTGGCCGGTAGTGTATATAGTCTGAATATTTAAGAACTGGTGATCCACTGGAATTTTCCACACAACCATCTCTAGGATTTATAGAGAATGGTCTGAAAAAGAGAAAATATCCAGTGAGCTGCAGTTCTGTGGATGATAATGCCTCAATATGTAAGAGGTCAGTGGAGAATGATGATACTACTACAAGTTGACAGGAAGGCAAGAGTAACTCAAATAATTTCTGAATGTATAACATGTAAAGCCTTGAAGCAGATGGACTACAGCAGCCTGTCAGCTTGCACAATAGAAGAAAAATGTTGCCTGGTCTGGTGAGTCTGAGCTCTTGTTGTGAAATTTGGATGGTATGGTTAGAATCTGATTTCAGCAACATGAAACCATGGATCCTTCCTGATTTGTCTTGATATTTCAGGTTGCTGCATGCATATATGATTGTTGACTAGGACATGCATTAAACTCCATTTACCCTACCTTTTATCCTAACCATAACTGAAATAACAAAAGCCAGCATTTATGTAACCTACATTCACAGAATATGATAATATGAGATGATTCTCACCTTTTATTTTCCAATAAGCCATTATTTGCTACTTGCTGCCACCTCAGCTCAAATTTTTATAACATACTAGGAAATCACATGGGCCAAGAAAATGAGCCCAAAATATTTAAATTACATACTGATTAAATCTCCAGTGTTCTCTTCTGCTGCATTCTCTACCAGTATACTGGTGTCAGCTTGCTCAGGCTGTGACACTCTACTGCTGAAGAAGAGCGGGTTATCGAAGGTGTTAGGGGCGGGTAACTGATGACCAAATTTCTTGAAGAAGAAGACAGCAGTGACTGCCACCACTGCAATCCCAGTAATGACTAACACAACTGCAGTGGTTATATAGACACGCTGATGATGAGGTAATCCAGTTTCTGTACGGAGTGAAAAAGTAGATGGTAATCCGCTAAAAAAACATTTGTAACAATTTTACATAAAATAAATAGATAAAAGAGGTGTTACTTACGGGCTGGTGGTGATGGCGTTGGTAGTAATACTGCAAAAGAAAAAGAAGAACAAATAAGATACTTTATTAAAAAAAAGTAGCTCTACTTCATTTCAAAGTAAAAATAAATTGTTCAAGATTCTTGTGGAGTAAACAGGCATTTATAAATGGATCTAATTTTGACTGTGCACTCAAGATTCTGACCCACAAGAGGTATTTCTTTCAGCTTTTGGATTCATATGACTGTGTTATGTATGCAGTCAAAGTCTTACAACTGATTCAAATCAGCATTATTAAAAGGAAAAAAAAAACAGTGCAATAAATAAATATTACTTTACCTTTTGGTGTCTTGCAGATGTAAGGTCTATAATCCCATATTTCGATATCCTTCCATGTCCCATCTGATGTACTAATCTCCCCTGTGCGCAATCCAAAGCTCATATTAAAAGGTTGACCTTCAGCCCAGTTAGTGTAACCCATGGCTGTTCTGTCCACCCAGAGCCATTCCTCTGCAGGCAAATAGACAAAAAAAAAAGAGATGTAAAAATGTATTTTTTTTCCCAAAATAATATTTTTAAAGAACATAGCAAAAATAATAAATCACCTTTGTATTGTTTTTTAAACAGGCCAATCCAGAAAGATGTGTAGCCATCTTGAAAAGTTCTCAGGTTAATTTCTAGAAATTTTTGCTCAGAGGAATCTTCAATGCTGGCAAGCATTCCACCTTAACAAAACAAATCAGTTGTTAATGAAAACTACAGCAATTTATTGCATAAAAGTATCTTTCACATAGGTTGCCTACCATGTGCTACACAGGTGGTGGATGCTTCGCTCCAGTGTTTTTGCTCTGTAATAAAAATATAACAATAACCCCTGAATGGTACCCAGATATAGTTCTTGTTTTCTATTGTTGCCTCTGGGTCTTGAGGGCAAACTCCTGGAAAAATGGTCGACTCTGTTGGCAGCACATCTGTGAATGAGGTAATGTCAATAGGATCAATTAATTACATTCTTTTAAAACTTTGTTGTCAAAACAGTATCTTTCAAACTGTGTGTGTGTTTGGTCGTACCTGTAGACTTCATGCAAACACTCATTAGTGTCTCATTACAGTGAGCGGTTTTCCATTTTCCATCCACATCCATGTATACACAACTTCTGTCCTTTCTTGGTTCATTTGTACCCCATCGACTGAATATTAAATGCCATCCATCAACATATCTGAAAGAACCATTGATCTGAAAGCAAAGATTAATGAGACAGCAGTTACAGATATTTTCTGATTTTCAGGAATATCTGCCCTAGTAAGCTTAACTGCATGGAGGGTAAAACAGACAATAAAAAGAGATTTCTTTCTGTTAAAACAGTTGAATTAAACTAGCATGGTGATCTATACTGCTTAAAAAATCCTACAGAGGTTGCATAGGTAGTCCAGCACATCAATATGTGCCATTTCCAGAAGGTTTGCTGTGTCTCCCAGCTCAGTCTCAAGAGCACGGAGGAGAGTCCAAAGAGACATGCAGTTACTCTAAGAGAGCTTAACAGCTCTACATTTTTTTAAACAGGTTTTTTCAGAAAGATGCAGTGTTTGGACACTTAAGAAAAACTTTTTTTGTCTTCACCTTGGTTGTCTTGATTCTCTACCTATGTGTTGTCCACTGTGTTACATAAGAGGTGCTGTTGCTCAACATGCCTTCCTCTCACAGAGCATCTCCCTGCTGGAGCAGGGATGCTGCACTGCCACACTGCTTATTAAATGAATGCCGAATTTAATAGTGTTTTTGAGTTTGTTGGTGTTATGTGCAACTGCTTCTTTACATCACATTTATTGGTACCGTCCTTAAATGTAGTCAAGTTAGCCAGTGCTTTATAACAGTCAGCCATTTCCAACCATGATTGAGAGTACAGAATGTAAACACACAGTAACTTCAAATGTGTTTGCCTAATGCTGGAAGATTTATTGTCAAAAGGGACGGCTAGATTTAGCTGACATTAGGTAACAGGTTAATACTGGTCACTATTACATTAACGGACTATTATTGCGGCCAGTAAACTGAAAACCATCCCACTGGTGTGGTGCATTTCTAGCTAGAAGGGAATCACAACATCAGCTAGCTCTAGACTTTTAATAAGAAATGACAGCCGAGGCTGGCTCCATCCTCCAACATCCTTATATTGGATAATAAGAAGAGGATGGATGACAATCTCAGTTCAAATTTATCATGCAAAAATTGTGCTGGATAAATAACTGAATGAGTGGATAAATAACTGGACCAGTATATTTATCCATCAATGACAATTTCATTCTCATAATCACAGATTATTTAGTTAGATAAAATCCGTGTTGGAACAATTTATTGTACGCATAGGTAAGTTTTAGAATTTTTACCAGAGTCAGTTTCAAACTGGTTGACCTATTATTGAGCTATGTACTTTTTATAGGTTTTTAAAAGTTTACCTGCACTTTGTGTAATCCAAACCAAAGAGGAGCCTTGAGATTCAGCGCCATGAGCTCAACATAAGCTTGCGTCCACTCATTCCTCAGGCTAGCTAGGAGGGCATCGTCATTTTTACAGTACTCTGCAGCTTTATCCCAATTCATTTGTTGAGGAACAACCTTAATGGAGTCATTGAGTATTTTGATGTAGTTAGTAGAAATTGTTGGTTCTGGAGAATCTGGTTGAGATGTGTCTGTTTAGGATTAGAATAGAAACAATTTTATTTATTGACTTTTTTTTTACATAACAAACCCCTCTACAGTACTCTTAAACCTATTACAGCTATTGTCAATGCGGAATCATACTCTTGATCATAGATTTTATATATCACTTATAGATATAGATATTAATTATAGGACTAAAAAAGTCAAAACATATTTTTAGTTGTTTTAGAGAGTCTGATGAAGCTGCAGCTGAAGTTGGGTGGCAACAGGCCTGGGGATAGAAATGGACTCACCAAGATTTCGATGACAGATAAATCCATTGGTGTCATTGCATGACTTTTGAATCCATTTCCCAATACCAACCAAAGGCTTGGTATTGATCACAAAACAGTTTTTCTGTGGAAACAGAGTTGGGTCAACAGAATGATGCTATGTGGTGACACAGGGAATTAACATATACTTCCACATACAATATACTGTATTATTGGTTACTGTTTAATCATCGGAGCAGATTATATTAGGAAAGCTTTCTTTCTTATTTTATTTAAACATGCAAACATTTGAGTGCCCTTGCATAATATATAGCTATATAAATAACAGATAAATAATTAAATAGTAGTTCTGTCACTGTAGAACTTGTAAAATACAACAAGAACTGTAAAATGTCATGCCATAAAGTGTCACTGCACTTTACAAATAAGTTTTAAAAACTACTTACCGTTTGATCGTACCAATACCAACGCTGCAATGTAAACACAGAGATTTTAAATATTTATACAAGAATATACAGTTATAGATTATTTCTAAGTATCTGACCCTTCACAATAGGTAATTATATTCTGTATCTACATGGTCCAAGTACACTGCTCAAAGTTAAAGAAACACTTTTTAAACAAAGTATAGCATCAAGTCAGTTAAAGTTCTGGGATACTGATCATTTAATAAGCAGAGAAGGCTGTTAATTGGTTTCAGCTGATTTGCTGTTAATAACATTATCAACAGGTGCACTAGTGAGGCAACAGTGAGACACCCTCCAAAACGGGAATGGTTTACCCTCACATTTTTTCCCTGCTCATCTTTCTCTTTGTTTTTTCACTAGTTTTGTCATTGACTAGAGTTAGTGTCACTACTGGTAGCATGAGGCCATACCTGGACCCTACAGAGGTTGCACATATAGTTATGGTTGTTAGCTTTTAATGAGTATAATGTTTTCTCAGAAAGAGAAACACAATAATTTATTATTATAATTCATTCATTTAATTATTCATTAGTTAATGTCTATATTTAGATTACCTCACGTACATTATTACCAAAATTGGTATATGACTTTGGTTGTCCATCAGTCCAGTAAGTTTTCCACTGTGACTGAAATAAACCAATCCACAAGTCTGTAGTAGGTGCATCAGCCATTTGAGACAGTAGAAACACTGAAAATGTAGACAAAGATTTACGGTTGAGATACAGTGGCTTGCAAAAGTATTCGGCCCCCTTGAACCCTTCCACATTTTGTCACATTACAGCCACAAACATGAATCAATTTTTATTGGAATTCCATGTGAAAGACCAATACAAAGTGGTGTACACGTGAGAAGTGGAATGAAAATCATACATGATTCCAAACATTTTTTACAAATAAATAACTGCAAAGTGGAGCATGTGTAATTATTCAGCCCCCTTTGGTCTGAGTGCAGTCAGTTGTCCATAGACATTGCCTGATGAGTACTAATGACTAAATAGAGTGCACCTGTGTGTAATCTAATGTCAGTACAAATACAGCTGCTCTGTGACGGCCTCAGAGGTTGTCTAAGAGAAAATTGAGAGCAACAACACCATGAAGTCCAAAGAACACACCAGACAGGTCAGGGATAAAGTTACTGAGAAATTTAAAGCAGGCTTAGACTACAAAAAGATTTCCCAAGCCTTGAACATCCCACAGAGCACTGTTCAAGCAAACATTCAGAAATGGAAGGAGTATGGCACAACTGTAAACCTACCAAGACAAGGCCGTCCACCTAAACTCGCAGGCCGAACAAGGAGAGCACTGATCAGAAATCCAGCCAATAGGCCCATGGTGACTCTGGACGAGCTGCAGAGATCTACAGCTCAGGTGGGGGAATCTGTCCATA